GCCTAGTACTCTGCAAACAGTACCATACTTAGGGGTGATGCCGGGGCCAGAGTCCCGCGTTCGGTCGATCTCGGTATAGCTGGACCAACCTGGAGCCCGAACAGCTTGCGCAAGCTGACCTGCTTGAAGCTTCACAGATATCAATGCATAACGTTATATTTACATATTTTTGAATATATACTATATGTATGATTATGCTTTGTATATATGTGTATGAAACATGATATATTATTGAAGCCACACTTCGAATGCAGTTCAAAAGTCCCTCAATGGCTCGAAGCGGCAGCAGTGGTGTACGCACCGCTCTCTCTGTGCAAGGAAGTCTATAAAGCTGCGGTTGTCTGTCGTCGGGCTCCACGTTGTTGCTCTTTGAGGCATCTGCCTAGAGGTTGAAGCACCATGCATGGGATAAGTGCTGAGAGGCGCGAGTTGCCCTGAGATCCGATGGCCTCGTTTTGAGGCGGGCCGATGCAGAACACCGAAAGCCCAAAGTCGGGCGAGTGGAGAGGATTCGGCATGTTATGGCTAGCCGTTATCTTTTGGGGGGAGTGGTGGAGGGGGTTTAGAGTTTCGGGCCCAGTATGACCTTCGTCCTGGGATATCGGATTCTTCCTGCAGGCCTCCTGCAGGCTTCACTGGTGGAAGTTGCGGTGTCTCGCTATCTACACCCTTGAAAATCGTTGAGGCAAGGAGCACAACCAGCATTCAGAAATTAAGTCTCTGCCGTGTAGCATATCTCTGCACATACACCATGCGCTCATGAAGATGGACTGCTACGATCAAAGCTAGCTCGTGACCGATGCAGCTCAGTTTGTGTAAACACGCGGCTATGCTTTCGGAAGCATCAAGCAAGTGCTGTGCTCTCCTGCCAGTGCCTCAAGAACACCAAGCTACATCCCTTTAAGATGGTAGCTTCGCGTCTTTTGGAAAGACGAAGGTATGGAGAAGGAGCTACGGTGCCTGCGGCCGCTCCCTGTACAAAACTCTCGCAGCTTTACGGCACCTTTCGGTTTGTGTCTTACCTTCCCAGCATTAGAGGGTTCGGGCTGAGGGTTGAACTTTAGGCTCTTACACATTAGCAACTTTCGCTTCCGGTTTACACGCAGCCTGAAAACCCTACAGTGTTAGGTCTTATTACCAAGAGCTGCTGACAAAGATAAAGGTCTGTTTTTGTCGAAAGGGGTGGCTGAAGTACGAGTAGGGCTGTAAGAGGCTAGAGGAACCCTGGGAAGGGAGCGGCCTCACCCCGATCCGGAGCTTTGGAAGGAGGAGCCGCTGAAGGAGGAGCCCTGACTAGCACTGGCCGAAGAAGAACCTCGGATCTACAGGGAATTTAACCCTAACCCCCCAGGTACCTACTATATAGGGTACTAGAGCCCCTAGGGCCCTATATAGTAGGTACCTGGAGGGTTAGGGTAAGGAGCTCAGGTTCAGGGTTTAGAATTAGGGAGTCGAGCGTTCAGGAAGTTCAATGTTTAGGAACTTTGGCCTCTAGCCTCGTATAAGAGTTTGTTGGGGCTGCGCGTGGGGTTTGAGGCTGTTCGATTCCGCTGACCAGGTGAACTCCGACTGAAGGCCCGAAATCATAAAGACGCCAACAGCCAAGGACCTCGGACTGAAAAGCCTTCCAGGGCTTTGGGTTTCTGGATTTTTGTTTGCAGTTTTGGGGGTGCTTGGTTCCATTTCTAGTGCCCTTGTGTGTCGGTCGGCTGGGTTCGACTTTTGAGGGAGGCTACGCCAGTCGGCTCGGGCAGCCTGTCTGAACTTTTTTTGGCTTTTTTTATCTAAGCCAACGGGTATGTTGTTTTGCTGCTGGCTCAGGAGCCTGTAGGCTTAAGGAGTTTGTCTTCAACACGATCAGGCTACTGCGTTCCAGAGCGGATCTTGAATGCTGTATCTGCCTGACGACGGCATGCCTGCAGATCCGGTAATTCCATGGTATGTTGCTGCTTCACTGGTCAAGAGCTGGCCATGGATCCCGGCGCAGGAACAACCAGGTGATCAAGGAGCTGGGTCAAGATTACAGCCTCTTTTCGGTCGTTCTTTACATATGTTAAATGTATGTTTCGAGTGATCCGTTCATCGAAGGCGAAACGAGACTCTATCTTTCTGACACTCGCAATGACGACTCCGAGGCGCGATTCTTTGCCGGGGCACTGGTGAGCTTCTTCGTGGCACGAATGACAAGCTTCTCCAGATGTACCAGCCTTCTCAGGTCCAGAAGCACTATAAACCAGGACTAGAGTACTCCTATGGAGATACTCTGCCTGACTCACCATATACATAGTGTACATCACAGTGGGCACCAACGCACATGTAAGCTTTGAAGCTATCGGCCCTGTTCTTCCACCACTCCCAGGTGACCTATCGAGCCAACGCGTCTTCAATAGTTGAATATATGGACTCCTGTAGACCCCACTATATCTCGTGCACGGGCATCGATGCCGCCACCACGTAGTGCTTCGACATTTATTGCTCTTTGCAGAAGGCATGCGACGTTCAAACCTGAGTCCGGATTGCTTGAGCAAGACTTGACTGGGAAATGCTGAGCCCACATCTTCGCCCTCGAGCCTCCGTAATCATTAGCATGTGCACATGTGATACCAAGGGGTTGTTAATGTAAGGATTGTGAATGGGTGCGTCTAGCCGTGCTGGTGTTCCTGGTCCTGCACGGAACCGGCCTGGCATCCAAGTTGCCCTTCTCACGGGTTTCCTGGCAAGCAGCTCCTCTTATGGTAGACGCTAGATCAACATTAAGCGAAGTTCCTGGACACGAAACCGCTTCGACGTTTTAGTCAGCATTGGGCTCCCACAGCCCCATTCAAAAACATCTTGCAGCCCACACCTCATGATCATCACTCCAGCGACCATGGTCGAAGTTTGAGCTTCGGACCGGGTGTTAAGTGTTCAATGTCCATTCAGGAGCCGAGTATCTCTCCAACCGACGCTGCCAAGCAACAACTTGCAAGAGTCAGCATGATTCGATCAACCTTCTCAGCCGTATCTCTGCTACCAGACCCTAGCCCTACCGCTTGAATTTCAATCCGGAGCTTAGCCCTACCCTAAACTCTTAACTTTAAGCCCTGATGCAGCACCTGTGGCCATTTTCGAGTGCCTACACCCCAAGCAGACATCCCCAAACTCTAGACTCTAAACCTTAAACCGATCGATCCTCCTCCGGCCAGGGCATATCTGGAGCAGTAGAGCCACCGAAACGCCGAATTCGCCTGGAAAATGCTCGGGTCAAGACTCGTGGATTTAGGGTCTAGCGCCTAGGGCTTGGGCTGTGGCTTGGGGTGTAGGCTTTGGGGCTTTAGTGGCTTTAGTGTGTAAGGCGGCAGCAGTACGTTCATGCCATTAGGAGGACCCTTGCAGTTGTGTCCGGGAACGTGTTGGTGGTAATTGACGCTAGTGGTCTTGGTAGTCACGGTGATATTCGGAAGGTGGCGATAAGCACCGCGCTGGCGCTGCGGCTGCCGCTGACCATGCCTATGCTGCCTCTTCGAATTCTTCTATGCCTGCTACTAGGATGGTAGCATCAGCGTTACTACTGCCTACTGCTGCTGCTGCTGCTGCTAGCGCTACTCCCACGCGACTACGGCATCACAGCAGCGAGCAGCAGCAGCAGAAACAGTTCAACACACGAGTTCCGGCAACAGATTACAACATCAGTGAGTGCGAAAAATCCGGCATAAGCCAACAAAAGCACGCCAACAGTAGTCATCGCAGTGCTGCTTATGCTGCAACCCAGACGTATATGATCGCAAGCGGCGGCCTGAATGGTGCAACCGGCCTTGTGCATGTCCCCAATGTTACTGGGCTACCGAGTCTCCGTACAGAAAGTCGAGGTCTCAGGCTTGCGTTGCAAGTCGTTGTCTTTTTGTTATCTTGCCTTTGCGCTGCTGTTAGGATGCGAAGTTCTTTACTTACTCATTCGCAGGGCTCAAAGCCTCAGTGTTTTAAGTGAAACGTTCTGGGTCTTGCGGGCGTGTGGAAGCCAGTTCCGGGCCTTTCAACAGTGAAAGCCTGATGAGGTATTGAACATCTAGCCCCGTGCAGAGGGATGAGACCACGCATTATGATCTGCATGGGCATCATTGCCACCGTCCAGGTCTCCACCAGGGTGAGGGGACGAGTACTCAGTAGTGCTTAGAACCCTTAGTTGCCAGGTTACTCTTCGTTCGTCGGGTTGAGGGTCGCCGACTCCAACACCTGCGCTCGGGAGCTGTCGCTTATTTTGCCTCTCGCAGGATTAAGTTCAGGGTGAGGTTCCGGGCTTCAGAGTCTTGTGTTTAGGGGCTTACATGTCATAGCACTTTTTGAGAAACCTCAAACCCTGCACGCAACCCGGTCCTACAGCACAATATAATGGGAACATCACAGGATACTAACCTTAAAATTTGGAGCAGAGGACGAGGAGGACATGAAGGACATGAGCACACGAAATGGCCGAACATGCAACCTGGGATTCGATGAGGTATTGTGTATTTCTACTGGTGCCAGGAGAGGCACGACACACCCATTTAAGTCAGATCTCACAGGTTCAGGCTTCATAATCTTGAGCACTTTCAGCCATCATTTTGTTTGGTCCCCTCGCAGTAAAGGACCAGGATCGTCGTGAGTAGGTGGATAATCTGGCCAGTAATTGGGCTGGTAGGAAGGTACCAACACATGCGTCTTGTGATTACCTGCAGGCCCGTACGAGCATGCACACATCCTTGAAATGCAGACAGGCAAACACACAGGTAGATAGCTGCAAACATACTATACCGCACACGCGAGCAGACACACATACCCAAAGCGCACCCATGCACAAGCTTTCAACCGCGAGTGCCTACCCCGACAATGACAAGAAGCACAGAGCGAGAGAGACGGAGAGATATGCATATACATGTGTATATATTTTTTATACAAAACTTATTTGGTTGTATACATATGTGTATATATATATACATACACACACACATGCTACTCATTGCCACCCAGCATGTTTCAGCAGCCTGTATGCCACCAGCAATGCCGATGTCTCCCTCATTGAACTCGATCCTCTCCTGCAGAATTCTTGCTTTGCAGATTCTGCAAAAGCTTGGCGAGGAGTGTGTGGACGTCGTCATGCACTACAGGTGTGTGCTCGACACCACTCATGCACAGGGAACTGATAACTGCCCCGGCCACTGCAAAAGTACCAGGATATGCGAGCAAGAATACAGCACTATCGCGATGCCAACCGGCAGCACGTCTGTTACTGCCTTCCTTCAGGAAGCTCGTGGATCCAATATGAAAGAGCTACCTCCAAGCTAATTCCTCAACCCATTCATGTGCCGGGGACTGCAATGCGCTAAGCCCTGGATCCCTTCAGCTACCCTTTTTGCATCAGGACTTGTGCAATCGCCTGCCTTCAGCTACCCTCCACCCTAACCACACCCTGTGCCAGTGCCTGAAAATTCAGGCCCTTGAGGAACGCCGCCCACCGCTTTGGCCGAAGGTTCCGCACCGTGGAGACGGTAATACCTGAGTTGGGCTGCTGCGTTCAGGCTTTGGGGCTTCGTAAGGGCAGGGTATAGTGGTTGAGGATGGTTGAGGTAATGGGGGCCAAGGGGTTTAGGATTTCACAAGGGTTCTGCAAGGGGTCTCGGATTTTATGAGGGCTCTGTGCGGCTGGAGGGGTTTGGGGTTTCGGATGGCAGGATCAGCTCGCGGGATCAAGTAGAAGCAGCTATGCAGACTTGTTTTGCCTCCTGCATTGCTGAACGAGTCGCTGGGCAGAGCATACAACAAGTTAGGCGAGGATTTCGGGTTTTGGTTTGCAGAATTACATTCCCAAAGGCTCTACTTGGAAGTTTCAGAAAATAAGGGTACCTTATTTTGGGGTCCTTATAATAGGGATCCTATTATTTAGGGTACAAGGGAAGCATGTCCCGAGTTGGGCAGACAACAGGGCCCCTACCCATCCTCGAAGGACAAACCTTCAGTTCCAGGGCACTGCTTCTAAATAATCGTGCGAAGCCCTCCATGTCGCCATAAACTTTCCGATAGGCACCTGGCAAGGCATGTTCGGAACAGGAAAGGGGCCTGAGAGCTCAGCAACTAGAGAAGCTGGAATTCGACGAGTCATGCAAAACTGGCAAAAGACCTCACACCTCGTCCGTGTGCTTGTCTTTCGCGCCAGTGCTTGTATTGGCGTGACGTACGAAACCCGTAGCAGCCGTAGCACCAAACGAACACGAAAACTCTGAATCACACCCAGTACATCTACAACACAACTTCAACTCGCAGCCATCCCCCCATTATCCCATGTCTCAAACCTGAACCTACGACATTCAAACAACTGGGGATCGGATTCTTGTTCTTCCAATTTCAGACATCAAGCCAGCTGTGTCTCAGAACACGCACACTGTGTTGTCCATATGTATGTGACCCTAAACCCTAAACCC